ATTCGGAAAGGAGATAGAAGATCTTCGAAAGGAAAAGGAACTTCATCGGAAAAGTAAACTGCTTTCATTACGTCCGTTTCTGGATGAAAATGGAATTCTACGAGTGAGAGGTAGAATCCGACACGCAGACATAAATCTCGATCAAAGACATCCGTGGTTACTACCTTCATCGACATCATATTACAACACTCATATTGAGGGAAAAACACAAAAAATTATTGCATTGTGGTCCGGAACAACTTTTGGCATCAGTTAGGCTTCAATATTGGTCATTAGCTGGGAGACAAGAAGCACGCAAGGTGACGCGTGCTTGTGTGAAATGTTATCGAGTTAGGCCCAAACCATTGGAAGCGATTATGGCGGATCTACCTAAAGATCGCCTGCGAGGATTTGTGAAGCCATTTACAATTAGCGGCGTAGATTATGCAGGGCCTATACAGATTCGCGAAAGCAAAAGAAGAGGAAGAATACCTATTATTAAAGGATATATTGCAGTATTCGTGTGCTTCAACATAGGAGCTATACATTTAGAAGCAGTAACGGACTTAACGACAGAAGCGTTCCTGGCAGCATTAAGGAGATTTATGGCCAGAAGAGGACTATGTACTACCTTATATTCAGATAACGCGACAAATTTTGTGGACGCGGCGAGGGAACTGAAGGAAATGTATTAGTTCGTGCAGAATCAAACGGAAGAAATTAAGGCAAGGCTAGCTTCGCAGGGAGTGGATTGGAAGTTTATACCCAGATCGCCAAATTTTGGAGGTCTATGGGAGGCCTTAGTTAAGGCTACCAAAAGACATTTATATACTGTCACGCGAAATCTTATATTAACTTTTGAAGAATTCAGTACGCTATTTGCTGAAATAGAGTTAGTGCTAAACTCACGTCTTTTAACCCCTTTATCCTCTCACCCAGACGATCTAACAGCATTAACGCCTGCTCATTTCCTTCTCGGAGACTCGCAATCTGAGTTCGCTCAAAGAGATTTATTGAATATACCTGATAAATTGCTGTCACGATGGCAACATGTGCAGAAGATTCGGCAGCACTTTTGGACGCGTTAGCAGAAAGAGTATGTGCATCAGTTACAAATGCGCACCAAATGGTATCACGAGGCAGCTAACTTGATTCCTGGGACGATGGTACTAGTAATAGACGATCAGAATCCTCCTCTCAAATAGAGTCTAGGGCGCGTACTAGAGGTTCATTTGGGCGATGACCATTTGGCCAGAGTGGCTACAGTAAGGACGGCCAGCGGCGTTTATAAACGAACTATCAGGAAGCTATGTGCTCTTCCCAGGCATGAGAGCACGCATGCTAGCGAGAAAGGCAAAGGTTCTGAAGCTGGAGCAAGGGATTCCTAAGGATATATTATTTACCATGCGATTCATGCTTATACTATGTAGATTGTATACGAATACTAATATTGTTCATTTTACTTATTACAGTTCGTTATGTGTTAAGTCCATATTTGTTTGTATGACAGCATTAATAGAAATATGTTATAGGGACGTTAAGAAATTTGATTTATTGAAAGTAGTCCTTTCAAGGTGGGCCAAGATGTTAAGGACGTATATAATTTAATTTAAAAAGAAAATATTTGGCGCCACCGCTAGCGCTATCGAAGCTAAGAGGATCTAGGTCCAAGAGAGGGCGCTGATGGATGTCGGTGGTTGACAACGACGACCGGAAGTATTGTATGTGTGTGAACAAGAAGTTATGTAAGACAACGTGGAGAATAAAGGCATTTAGTTTTCGCAATAAACGCATATATTCGCATTATTCACGAATCCAGCGACAATTCAGTTGAGCCATCGAGACTTAAACATTAGTCATCTTTCAAGTGATATTAAACATTCAAAACGGAACTAATTTTTAAAAACTTTTTAAATGCGTATCAGAACGAAATGTCGGAACGATATTAAATTAAGGCAATTGGAGTGAAATTAGTCGCATGTATTTATATTAATGCCATCTCTTCGAAGAAATAAAGCAAACTTTCTGTTCAATCTAATATTTTTATAAATAATTTTAATTTTAAGTATTTTATTATTACGTAATGTTAACATTTTTATTATTATCGTGAATAATCAAATTTTAGCTCTTAGGAATTAATTAAATTATTATAATTTAATTTCTTAAACTTTCTCATTTTTTGTTCCTTAACCAGATTAACCGGGAAAAAAAGTTCCACATATAATTATATATAATTATATGCAAAATATGTCCATATATGTTTCTTTTCTTTGTAAAATTATTCTTTAATACAAAATTGATAATAATAAGAAGGAAACATAAAAAATAATTAAAAGAATAATTTTACAAAGGAAAGAAACATATATGGACATAAACTGCTCAAAAAAATTTTGAGCAAAAATTGGTCAATTTTGATTAACGGTAACTCCGCGAAAAATTATCGTAAAATGATGAACTTTTTTTCAAATGAAAGCTTGAAATCTCTACTTTAAGATACTGTGAGTCGATTTTTAATTTAATGCACTCCTGTTGCTGTAAACAGATCGGAAGAGCAC